CACCAGAAAAAACTGGCTTCCGGGTTTTGTTTATCAGCTCGATGAGTTTAATAAATTGAGCATTAAACGAACACTCAGACGGGATGGAGATATGTTCCAGCCCAGGACTCTCAGGGGAAGGGCATCTCTAAAAAGGGACTTTTTGCTGCACAGTCACAGGTAGTCCTGGGTGGGGTGCTGTGTGTGAGGGAAGATGTTCAGTTTGGTTTAAGAAAAATTCAGACACTCGGCTGCAGCTACTGGGTACCAGGCTTCTGCTGAGAAATGAGAACTCAGGGTGAATCCAGCCCCTGCCCCACGGTGCCCAGAGCCTTGAGGGCAGGCAGAGGTGCATGTGATACTCGGAGCATAGGGCAAGGTGACCGACCAGCAGAGGAACTCTCGGATGCACAGAGCAGAGAGGGAGTATACGGGATGCTGCCGTGTGACCTTGAACGAGTAACCTGCCCTCTGCACCTTGGTGTGCTCACCTGTAAAATGGGGAGGGAAACTGTCTTCCTTCTGGAAGTCCTGGACTTGCTGAGCTGAGGCGGGTGGGTGGTAGCTGAGCTTTGTCAGTGCTCAGCAATGCTCACGAGACCCACAGGGAACTGCGCCGGGAGTGCTCTGCCCGGCTCAGGCCGGACAGAAGCTAGAAGCGCTGATGGAACCCAGGGTGCTCATGAGAGTGAGGCGTGGGTGGGACCTGGAACCCCGGTGTCAGGGGGGCTTCTCTCCAGAATCTCAGAGACTCCAACGAGGGGGACCGACAAAGGTGTGTGGGACCCACGTGGGATAAGAGAAAGTAGGCACCATCACTCCCATTTCAGAGATGAAGAAATTGAGGCTCAGAGACGTTGTGTCTTGACCACTGTCACACAAAGAAAAAATTACGGAGCCAGGGTGGGAACACAGGCTGCCCACTCCCGTGCCCCACCCCTTCCACGGTCCCAATTACTGCCCCCCAGGGCACTGCCTCCTTAGGGCAGGTGGCCAGGGCACTCACCAGACCAGGTTGGGGGTGGGGACTGCCTGCCCTGCTTCACAGGCAAAGCAGGACCGCATTGGTTGGTTCAGTAGTCATTCAACAAACATGCATTGCTCACTCAGAGTGCTCAGGGCCTTGTGCGCGGTACCAAAGATACGGAGGTGACCAAGGTGAAGGTGGACCTGGAGATATGTCAAGCGGAGTCCCCTTTGCAAGTGCCACAACGTGGAGTAGGGCGGTGGGCAGCGTGAGGACAGGGAACTCGGAGAGGGAGGCACCTACCTAAGATTGGAGAGGAGAAGAGGGCTTTCTGGAAGAAGGGCTGCCCAAGACACGTCGCTCCACATTGGTGGGTGTTTGGGGCAGAGATTGGGGGGAGAGGGAACGGTGACCTAGGCAGCAGGGAAGTGGGAAGAAGGGCCTGGCCCTTTACATGAAAAATGGGGGAGGAGGGCTCTGTGGGCTGCAGCAAGCCCACCCGCCCATGGTGTGATCACAAAGCTGTCCTGTGGATTTGGAGCTTCTAGACTGGGGGAGCGGCAGGGAGGGTGACCGCGGGGAGGTGGGGGAACACCAGGGTGGGGGGCAGGCAGCTCCTCCTGGGCACCCCACCATGCCCTGACCCCAGGGCTCATCCTGTCCCTGCCTCCCCACCTCAGTGTGGGCAGCGGGGACATATCCATCTGGAACCCTGAGCACAATTCTCAGGAGTGGGGACTATTGTCCCCATCTTACAGGTGAGGAAACTGAGACTCTGACCTGCCCCAGGTCACACAGTCTCAGAGCAGGCAAGTGGCTGAGTCAGGACTAAGACCAGACCTGGGGTCCAAATTAGGGCCCTCCGCACCAGGCTGCTGTGCCCCTAACGGGAGGGCCCCCCCAATACCTCCCATCCCTGCCAGCTCTGCACCTCTGCTCTCCTGTAGCCCGCCCTGCCCACTGACCACTCTCTCTGCGTCTTCACAACGAGAAGCAAGCATGTTGTCGAACCCATTATACAGATCAGAAAGCTGAGACTGGGGTGGGAAGGAAATGACTTGCCCAGTCACCAGCCAGCAGTGGTGGAATCGGGCATTGGGCCAATGCCAGTGCCCCCTTCCCGTGGCTGGGTCTGCTTCTCCACCAATCCCTCCACGGTGGGAGGGACTGAGGGGGCGAGTAGGGGCTCATGGAGAGGAGGGGACCCCGCTGGTGCCCCGGCCCCCCCCACACATGCCATTAGTAGCTCTCACCCCTGCTCGGTAGACAAAAGCACCCCATACTTGAGAGCGAGTATTTCATGTGTCCCCCCTGATGTTTTATTGGGAGGAGAGATGCTCAGAGACCAAACGGATGGCACATTCCCTTTATAAAGTGCGTGCCGCTTGTTTTATTTCCCGAGTTTTTGCAATCTAGATAACAGATGATGCCCCGAGTGGCTGGCGCTGCGTTCGTAATGGCGGCGCTGAGCCTTCGGAGAAGTATTAATAATAGATTGTGTTGATGAGTTTGGAGAAAGTAGCAATCGACCCCCCGCTGCCAAGGCATTAGCGAGGCTGTTCTGAATGCAGCCTGCACGGTGGTGGTGGCTGGCAAATGCAGGTCACCCCCGCTGCTGCCCCTGTCCCCCCACCTAGGAAGGCCTCCCCTGGGGAGCCACCCAAGGTGTGCTGGCCTCCGCCTGAGCCCCTGGTCCAGCTGGCACAGAGATGTGGCCAGTGCCTGTCCACTTGGCCACCAAGGCCAGCGGTAGACCTTAGTGGGGCCCCTAGGACAGGAGGTAGAGGACAGGGAGGGGCCAGAGGGGGCCGGGACAGGAGCGCCCTCCATGTCGGAGCAGCGGGTTCTGCACACCCAGCTCCTTCCCCAGAGCCTGGGCAGGCAGAGCCAGCCCGGCCTCTGCCCAAGGCCGCCGTGGACAGCTGGGCAGGCCGCACCCCGAACGAAGGTGTCTGGGCAGAGGGCCAGACTAAAGCCGAACCCCCGCTCAGGCTTTTCTCGCAAAGTCAGGCACAGTGTGGGCTCGGGCTGGGGTGGAGTCAGCACTGCCTGGCCTGAGCCTCCGCCCACTCCAAACCTTCACTCCCCTGCTCCACAAACACTCGCTGTGGCCTCCCTCAGGAGCAGGTGGAGCGAGGCCCTGCCTTGTGGGACCACCAAAGAGCTGGGAGCTGACAGGGGCTCAGGCTGTCACTCCGACGTGACCCTCACTCACCGAGTCACATGCTTAGTGTCACTGAATTCTGACGACTGCCCTTGGGGGGATGTCCTGATGACACCCCGCTTTATGGTAGAAGGAACTGAGGTCGGAGAAGCTCAGGCCAGCATACAGGAGGCCACCTTCCCATGACTGGGCCATCCAAGAAGGCTTCCCAGAGGAGGTGGTGTTGGAGTTGGGCATTGCAGGATGAGTAGGAGCCCACTGGGTAGCATAGAGGGGGCAGCAGGGTTGCTGGGCAGTGCCCTGGCAGGGGCCGGGGCAGGGGCCAGGGCCAGGTCCAGGGCAGGCAGGCAGGAGGCGGAGAGGCCCTGTCCAGCGTGCCTGACCCACTGCCCGTGGGCAGAGCTGATGGCAGCCCCGGGAGGGGAGGCGGGCCCAGGGCCTGGCACTCACGGCTGTTCCAGCACCGATTAGGGGAGAATTGCAGCTGTGATCTGCGCCTGCAAGGACGGCCGGGCCATAAAGAGGGATGGGATGTGTGCAGCGCTCCCAAGGTGGCGCCCACAGACGTGGCCCGGGGACGCGGGGAATGAAAAATGGTTTTAATTCCCTCCCAGCAGCAATAATTTGATTCTTCATAAATTTCTCCATCAAAGTGTTGTTGAGGCTGAGTTCCCACAGAGCAGGGCACGTGACAGGGACGGGCAGCCAGGAGGAGTGGTCAGTAGGTGGGGGCAGAGGAGGGGCCGAGCTGCACAGACCCCTCTGCACGCATGGGCTGGAGGCCGGAGCCCCCACCCGGCTGTGCATCAGGGAGGGCACACGGATCCACTGTGTCATGGAGGGACAGGATTAGCTCCAGGCTCAGCGGCAGCTCCCTCATTTACTACCCCTGTGGCTCTGAGCAGGTGACTGCACCTCTCAGCAGCTCAGTTTCCTACGCTCTGCAATGGGGTCGCTGTTGCTTCCCATCTCACAGGGAGGGTGCAAGGAGTCCATGTGTTTCTGCAGGCGAAGTGCTTACAACAGCGGCTGGCAGGCCCCACATGCTCAGTAAATACATCTCTTCCTGGTAGCCATGCTTAAAACCAAAGAGAGGCTTAAGTAGGTGTTAGCCAAGCCCAGGGCCAGAGAAAGAAAGAAAGGCCAGTGTAATGCTGCTCTGGAGGAGCTGCGGGCTCTTCCATAGGTCACAGCCAGGGGCAGCCCAGGGAGCCAGAAGAGGCAGGATTGGGAAGGGCCCTGAGTGCCAGACTCAGGAGTCGATGTTCTCCTAAGGGCACTAGGGAGCCATGGAAGAGTCTAGAGCGGGGAAGCAGCACGACCAGGTGTGTGTTTTGGACAGATCTTTCTGGCTCTGATCCTGGAGGGTGACTTGAAGGGTTGGAGGGACCAGCACCCAGGGAGAGGACTGGAACAGTCACTCAGAAAGGAGAGGAAGGGCCTGTGTGGGACGGTTGGTTGGACAGGGTGGGGATTGCTTGGATGTGGGGGTGATGGAGGGGCAGGGAGGAGGAGGAGCGAGTCCTGAGTGCAGGTGGTTGGGCCTGTGGGCTGCTTGCCCTTCCCCTCAGGACAGGGCAGACCTGGTTCTGGGGAGAGGTGGAGGCTTACCTTGTATTCTGCCCTCTAGTGGCCACAGAGTCTCTGAGTGGGAAGGACCCTGAGCCAACACACAGGCAAGAGGGCAGTTCGGGGCAGGGGGCCACTGAGTCCTGTGAGCCAGAAGAGTAGGACTGTAGGGTCCTCCCCATATGGCTCAGTGCCCAGGGAGGTCTTCTCCTACTTGGCCTGGAGGGTCGGGGTGGTGGGAGGGAGAAGGCTCTCAGTTGGCAGTGGCATCTGGGAGGGACCCCCAAGCCCAGCTAATGTGCCCACTCTGTGCCCCCACAGGCTCTTCGCGGCCAAGTGCAGCGGCTGCATGGAGAAGATCGCCCCCACTGAGTTCGTGATGCGGGCGCTGGAGTGCGTGTACCACCTGGGCTGCTTCTGCTGCTGCGTCTGCGAGCGGCAGCTGCGCAAGGGTGATGAGTTTGTGCTCAAGGAGGGCCAGCTGCTGTGCAAGGGTGACTACGAGAAGGAGAAGGACCTGCTCAGCTCTGTGAGCCCCGACGAGTCTGACTCCGGTGAGCCTGGTTCGTGGGGGCCCGCGGCAGGTGGGTGGCTGGGCAGGGTGCTGTGGGAGGGCGGACCTGCCGGAGAAGCACGTGCGTGGCCCCAGGACCTGAGCTTCATGTGGACAAAGCACCACATTTGTACACGGATGTGTGCTGATGTATGCACGTGCACACACGCACATGTGCAGGGGCACATGGACATTACTGTTCACACACACTCCCACAAGCATACCAATGCACCTATGGACATTGCCATGAGGCACACATACCTGTGCGGATGTGTACATGTGTGTGATCACTCATGCATGCACGCAAACACATTAAATGTACAAGTGAGGACCTGTGCCAGGAATGTGCATGTGTGGTAAAATGGACACATGTGGACATGTGCTCATATGCCCAAGCACGCAAAAACTCACACCCAGGTATGCAAGTGTCCACACACATGTGCACACGTGGCCCAGCACACACAGTAAGCACTGAGGCATATGTCTAAACGCACGTTTATCCCCATGCTCACGTGCACTGGGTGGCACGTGTGCACACACACGCACATGCTCACACCCTGCTCTCCGGCCCACCGTGCTCGCCCTCCCTCTTCCTCGCCTTGGGCCCCACCGCGGCACAGCGCCATAGGGTCTCTGCCGGTGCCAGGCCTGTGGCCGCTGATGTCAGAGAGGCAGGGACCTGATGAATCCTCTTGCCTTTGGCCCCCCAAAGCCTTCAGCAGTGGGGAGCAGCAGCCCTGAACTGCTCCCTCGTTTCCAGATGGGTGGGGGCCTGAGCCCCTCTGTGGTGGAGGGAAAGACCCCATTTCCAGGTGCCTCTCTGCTCTGCTCTGACCCCCAAAGGACTGTGCCAGTTTGGAGCCCTCTGGGCAGAACGGGCCAGCCAGGAAAGTCTTGAGGTGGGAAAAGTCGGGGGGTGGCTGGCACCTTGTCATTCCTGGGAAACTGGAGCAGGGAGCAGGGCGCGGAGGTGCCCTCCTCTGTGCCAGGCCCTTGGGATAACCTAGAACCATGGGCACGGGACTGGCACAGACGGAAGGGCTTGGTCACTGCCAGGACCCTTGGTGGAGGTGCCGAGTCCGTCCATCTGTCCCTCTGTCTGTCCCTGGACAGGGCACCACCCTGGCCAGACCTGTGGCTGCCTAGACTCCTGTGGGGGAGCAGAGGCTGGCCAGGTGCTCGGAGGGGTCTCTGAGGGAAGAGCCCACCCACAGGGGCTCACACTCAGAGAAAGACGGGCCTGGAGAAGGGAAACCAACTCAGATGTGGGGGCAGCAGGAGGCCCGTGGCTGGCTGGGGGCGCTCCACCGTCCACCTGAGCCCCACAACCCCGGGGCATGGCAGTGGCGCTGTGGGTGCCTCTGGGCAGACACATGCCTCTGCATGCACGCATGTGGGTGCCTGCTCAGGTGTGCGCATGCCTGGTCGTCCTGCCTGTGAGCACTCACCTGTATGTGTATGTCTGTGAGCTGCATGTGCTCAAGCCTTGGAAGGCTCACGTGCCAGTCTGTGTGTGTGAGTGCTGGTGGGTGAGAGTGCACGTGTGTGTCAGTTGTGGTCATGAATGCTCCTGTGTGAGAACATCTGGAGCGCTGTCTTCGCCTGTCAATTCCTCATCCCTGGAAGCTCTGGGGAAGGAGGTTCTCTGGGCCCCGGGGCCTGGCTGGCACTGGACTAGCGGAACTGGTTTTCCCAAAGGTTAGCATTCTGGATGGGGGTGTCCAGGGCTCCAGAGGCCAGCCATGGCAGGTGCTGGCTGGAGGCCATGGGATCCCACTGGGCAGCAGGTTGTCCACGGGTGGAAGGCTGATGGCCTGGATTGTGTCCCTCACAGTAAAGAGCGAGGACGAGGATGGGGACATGAAGCCAGCAAAAGGGCAGGGCAGTCAGAGCAAGGGCAGCGGGGACGACGGGAAGGACCCACGGCGACCTAAGCGACCCCGGACCATCCTCACCACACAGCAGCGAAGAGCCTTCAAGGCCTCCTTCGAGGTCTCCTCCAAACCCTGCCGGAAGGTGAGGGGTGGGGGGCGGGGCCGGGCCAACCCGCCCCTGCTGCCTTTCCTGACACCACCCCTTCCACTCTTGCTGGGACGGGGACATCCCTCCACCTCCCCACCCATCCACCAACCCTCCACCCCCCACATCCCCAGAGGCCTGACCTGTGTGCCCTGCCCCCTGTCTCCTGGCAGGTCCGAGAGACGCTGGCGGCAGAGACGGGCCTCAGCGTGCGCGTGGTTCAGGTCTGGTTTCAGAACCAAAGAGCAAAGGTGAGTGGCCACCTACCATCCCCGCTGGGTAGAGGCAGGGGGCGGGGCACAGGCAGGGGACAGAGGGTCCCACGCAGGCATGCAGGGCGAGTGGGAGCAGGGTTGGGGGAGGGGAGCAGGGGCTGGCACGAACGGACTGTGTCTTCTGCAGATGAAGAAGTTGGCGAGGCGGCACCAGCAGCAGCAGGAGCAGCAGAACTCCCAGCGGCTGGGCCAAGGTGAGCTGGGGCGGGGCCAGGGCCCAGCTCAGTCTCTGACCATGAGACACCTTCCACTCAGGCTGTCAGAGTTCAGGGGCCTGCTGCTTTGGAACAGGCTGGGCTCGGTAGGGAGGTGGCAGCGACCACAGGACACAGAATGAAGGGCATTGGCCTGTCCCATTTCACAGATGAGGAGACTGAGGCTCATGGACACTGAGGGACCTGTGGGGATCACTCAGCTAGTTAGGGGTGAAGCCAGGCCTCAGCCTGGAGTGTGGGCCCCCTGAGGGAAGAGCCCACCCACAGGGGTGTTTCCCATGACCATACAGCCTGCTGCCCACCGCAGAGTCCAGTGAAGACCCCAGGGAACATTCCAGAGAAAGTTGGCAGGGAGTGGAGTAGTCGGGTGGGCTCCTGCTGGAGGGTGAGGGGCCAGTTGAAGGGGCAGGAGCCAGCCCCCCTCCAACACCAAGCTTTGCCTTGACACATCTCAGGCTGGGGCTGGTCTCCTAGGCCTCCTGGGGACACAGAACTGCTGGGTGGGGTGGGGACCCCAGAACTGCCTGCTCTGAAGTGAGACGGGGCTCCAGGGCAAGGCCAGGGCCCCTCTAGCCAGGTCTCCCGGGCCGGTGTCCCCTGCAGAGCCCAAGACCATGGCCTGAGGGCCCAGCTCTTCCCGCTCCCTCTGTCCCCTCTCCCCAGACAGCCCACATTCCAGACGCTGCAGGCACTGCCTCAGGCCTCCCAGCCAGCCCCACTCCGGCTGTGTCCCTGGTGTCCCCAGCTGCCCCTAGGCTCAGCCTCCCACAGAATGTTCCTCAGTCCCCCTGAGCTCATCACGGCCACACTGCCGCTGTCGCCATGGGGCGCACACCACCCCTGCTCCTCCCCCACCAGGTCTCAGCAAGAGGCACCACCACCCACCCATTGACCTCTGACCCTTCTCTACACTGAATCCGCTCAGTGGCCCTCGGGCCCCTCTGAGCCGATTTCTCTCACACCTTATTCCCCTTCATAAGGAACCCCACACCTTCCACCTGACCACCTCCTCCCACCGGTCCCCACCCCTTGTCCACCTTCCCAGCCCTTTTCCGTAGCCCCTCCTGGCTACAGCCAGGCCCCCCGCAGCCTCCGGGCCCCTCAGCCCACTCCCCAAGTGCCATCTCTCAGCTCCTGTCTCCCCACGCTGGGCCGTCTCCCTCCTCACGCTCCAGCCCACAGAGGGGCTTCCCTACTCCCACCTAAGAGCTTCTCTCCTCCCTGCCTCTGCTGCCCTTCAGCCCAGCAAGCTGCCTCCTGCTGGGGCCTGTCAAATACCTGCTGTTCTGTAAGTCACATGGAGGTGGTGGCCTCTTCCTCCAGGAAGGCTTTTCTGGGCCCCACCTTGATGCCCCCAGATGTAGGGCGCTCACTGCAGCTGCTTAGGGTCTGTCCCCACCCCCAGGGTGGGCCTGAGCTCCTGGAGGGCAGGGCCTTTGGCAGATGGGAGGAGGTGACGAGGGGAGGGCTCTGGGTCGTGACAAGGGCTCCGCTAACTGGGCTCAGCAGTCCTGTGGGCCCAGGAGGGCCACAGGGTGTCAGGGTGTCCCTGGAGAAGTGACACCCTGGAGAAGTCTGGAGAAGGTCAGAGGGACTGCCGTGGGTCAGAAGACGTGTGGGAGGTCTGTGGGGAGCCCTGGGGTTCGTCTGTGGGGGCTCCCAGGCTTCTGGGACAGGGCAGCAGGACCGGTGGGTGAAGGCGCCCTCTGCCCCCAGAGGTCCTGTCCAGCCGCATGGAGGGCATGATGGCCTCCTACACACCGCTGGCCCCGCCGCAGCAGCAGATTGTGGCCATGGAGCAGAGCCCCTACGGCAGCAGCGACCCCTTCCAGCAGGGCCTCACGCCACCCCAAATGCCAGGTGACCACATGAACCCCTATGGTAAGCTGCCCCGCCCCCCTCTGGCTCCGGCTCCGGCTCCACCCCCGCTCCCTGCCTGGCCCGGCAGGCCCAGGGCCATGACAGCCCCCTCCAACTCCAGGGCCCACAGAGCCCACTCCCCTCCTCCTGACGGGAAGGGGACACCCTCGAGACCCTTCCTGCTGTCCCAGCCTCTCTGCAGGCACTGCCCACAGGTCCTCCTGTCCCTCCCTCGCCTCTGGCCACACAGCCTGTAAGGCCTCCAGGGTCTCCAGGAGCCTCCGCCCACACTCGCGTCCTGACACCCGCTCTGCTCCCCAGGGAACGACTCCATCTTCCACGACATCGACAGCGATACCTCCTTAACCAGCCTCAGCGACTGCTTCCTCGGCTCCTCCGATGTGGGCTCCCTGCAGGCCCGCGTGGGGAACCCCATTGACCGGCTCTACTCCATGCAGAGTTCCTACTTCGCCTCCTGAGAGCCAGCGGGCTGCACGGACGCTTGGGCACGGGCCCTGGGTGGGACCACGGGCCACAGCGGCCAGCCTTGCCGCCCCGGCCCCGCCGCCTGCGCAAACTCTACAGACAGCCATACGGTGCCACCTTGGCCAGCCGGGCCTGGCTGGAGTGCCCGCTGGGCGCAGCCGGACGGGCAGATGGGCGCAGCCTGGGCAGGCGCTGTGTCCTGCCCACAGAGACCGCGCCGCCCCCAGGGACCCAGGGCTCTCGGACAGCTACTCACCTCCCAGCCCCACCTCGGCCTCCATTGCCTCCTCTCTCCCCATCTTTTTTGGGAAGCTTAAATTCTCTCTATTTTTTTAAACATCCTCTCTGTGTCCAGCCAACCTCCATGGCCCAGGCCTAGGCCAAGGCAGGGCCCCTGTGCATGCCCCAGGACGACAGTGTGTGGTGCCTGTCACCTGTGAGACGCCGTGCACGTGTACCCAGGGCTGGCACCCGCCGCCCCCTCCTCTACGGGCAGGCCCGCAGCCCAGGATCACCCCTCCCAGCCAGAGCCTGGAGCAGAGGTGGGGAAGAGCCTGCCAGACACCCTGAGGGGGGTCACTGGGGAGCATAGACAAGCGCCAGCAGACCCTTGGGAGCAGTGACACACGTGCACAGGTGCACACACTTAAAGGCACACTGAGCACCGATACACACACAGAGACATGGAGACGCTGAAAGAGACAGAGAGGCCTCTGGGGGCAGCCCCGCCAGGTTAGAGAGGAGGCCAGGTGCGGGGGAGGAACCCCTCTTTCACAACAGGAGAAGGAGGAGGGAGGGGCGGGGATGGGGTGCGCTTGGAGCAGGTGGACTGGGATGTACCGCAGCCTCGGCCCAGATAGGGGCTGGGCTGCTGGACCAGGCAGGGTGTCCGCCAACTGGCTCCAAGGGCAGAGGCGCGCTCAGACCCAGGCAGGGGTCGGCCAGATGGCAGAACCTCCAGGTGGAAAGGCACCTCACAAGTCCCACTTGGCCCTTCGTCTTATGTTTGGCTCCTACCAAGCCTCCTCTGCCTCTCTTTGCATACCTCCTGAGATGGGGAGCCCACTACTTCATCAGGCCCCAAGTCAGCTGCCCTTTTCTGCTGATGTTACCTCTGCCTTTTTCAGCCCTGAGTCCTTGCTTTTCAAAGGCAGGCTTTTCCAGATTCTCCAGCTCTTCCTCTAAAACTGTACCTGCGGCTGGGCTCCAGCTTTCCCACTAAAGTGTGGAGCAGATGTAACCCAGTCTCCCCACTGACATCAGCCAGCCAAAGTGAGCAGGCCCATCACCTCCCCAGCTTTAGGGGCTTTGCCTCTGTTCATGTGGCCCGAGATCCAGTGTGTGGGTGAGACCACAGAACCTGGGAGCCTCACCCTGCCCTTCTATAAGCAAATCTCCCGACCATCACACACATGTACCATCCAAGCCACACCTGTCTTCTGTGTGTGCGTGTTAGGGGACAGCTCTGTGCCTCTTGCCCATGGCACGCAGACCCCCAGGGCTTTTCCCTGTTTGGCATGGACACCCCTTGGGTGAAGCATTCCAGCCGCACTTGCTGCCCTGTCCTGTGTGCTGATGGAAGCCACGTACACTGCATCCACCCCCCGCCCCAAGTTCACTCAACTCTAATCCTGCCCAAAAGGAAGTGTCAGGCTGATGGTCCCCACTCTTGGTGACCCCTGGAGGTTACTGTGACCTCAGCCAGCTGCTCACAGCCCTGCCTTTAATTCTAGCTTAGAGCCCAAGGCTGCCACCTGAGGTCTGCTGGTCCAGCCTTTGAGCAAATGGGACCATGGCTGACTCTCCGCCTCTGGGCCCCTCTGCCTGGCCCTCACTGGGACCCTCCAAGGGCGCCAGCCTGCTTTGTGGTTTTGCTCTGCTGCCTGCCAGGGAAACCTCTGTCCCTCCAGAGTGACCTGGGCCCGACTCCTGGGCCCAAACCCCACCCTGCTCGTCACCAGGGCAGCTGTCAGAGGGTGGACGCGGTGCAGTTCAGCCCCTACAGCCGGCCGGGCCCTTCTGGGCTCTTCTTGTTCCACACAAAACTTCCACAGGGCTCCCAGCCAATGCCCTTGGCCTTTCGGGTGCCGTCCCTGGCCCTGGGCAGTGCGCTGGTTTTGGAGAGAGGCTGCCATGCTCCATTTGCATTTTCACAGTCCAGTCGTGGGGTGGGCCCCTGGGTGGGGCCGGGGGGATGCCTCATGGCATCCCCCAGGAGACCTGGCCTTCTCCCCCGGACTCCCGGGTCAGGGGAGCCTCAGGAATGGGTTATCTAGTCCATCACCCACCCTTATTTTGCAGCCGAAAACCCGGGGCCAGGAGAGGGGTGCAGCCCTCTGACAGCCTGTCAGTGGTGGGCAGAGCTGAGAACAAGGGGGAATGACCTCCGGGTAAGGGGCAGAACCTGTGTAAGTCACTTGTGCCACTCCGGGGCCTCACAAACCCTGAGTCTAGCCCAGGCTCTGCCCCTGGCCAGGGGCAGGTTCAGGGACACCCACGCTCATGACCCACAGACTGTCAAAGCCAGAAGGGCAGAGAGCCCTTCATGACTGAGCTACCCCTTGACTGTGGTTAGGTAACTCCTTCGCTGTCTGCGGGGGCTCACTGCCCCCAGCACCCCCCGCCCTGCCCCTCAAAGGCTCTCCCAGACTCTGCTGCTCACTCTGCCCAGTCATGTGCTGGGGGGTGAGGACACAGAAGAACAAGATACAGGGGCTCTCCTAGGAGGAGAGACATACACACTCTGTCCCAGACCTCGCTGAGGACCCATTTCTCAGATGAGGAACCTGAGGCCCAGGGAAGGGGGACGTGTGTTTGGGTTGCCCAGCAGAAGCACGCAGAGCTGGCAGGCTCGCTGGGGGCTGGGCAAGCTGAGAGGAGCATGAGAGGAAGTACGGCCTTGATTGGGGGGCGGTGAGTACCAGGACCCCCATCCCCTTTAGGGAGAGGGACCATCATCACTGTGGTGGGTCGGGGGGAGGTCTGAGGAAAGAGGGAAGAGTCTGGTCCCTGGAGAAAGAGGCAGAAAGTGGGCGGCGGTCAAGGAGACTGCTGGGGAAGTTGAGGCTCAGAGAGGAAGGAATCTGCTTCAGGTAACACAGCGAGGAAGGGCGGAGGAGGGATGAGGAGGGCTGGTGCCCAGCCAGAGCCTCGTCTGCCTTCTGCATGGACAGAGGGACACAGTGGTTCCAAGGGTCCAACCGCGGATCCAGCAGAGCCTGTAAGAGAAGGGGTCTGGGCATTCTGGGAGACTTCCTGGAGGAGGCGGCAGTGGGGGTCGTCTACCATGTCCAGAGGAGCAGGGCCCAGCATGGGGCTGGGGCAGGCTCTTCTCCTTTAGGGGGCTCACCTGCCTCAGCCAGCCCTCTGGAGCTGCTGGCCCTCTCACTTCCCACCCAGGGAGCCTTGGCGCAGGGGGAAGTGGTCGAGCCCTGCCTGGCCTCAGCCTGAGCGCTGGACACCCCCTGGGGTGAGGATCTCACCTCCGTTTGGGAGAGCCCACAGCTCTGGGGCTCACTCCACCCAGTGGGGAAGGGGTCCACGCTCACACGCACACGTACAGACACACACTCACCCGGACGCACATGGAGGCTCACAGACCCACACTCCCAGGCACATGTGGCCGGGGGGCTGGGGGAGCAGGAGGACCCTCCAGCCTTTGGCCCTTGGGAGGTGCCATTTTCAATGAGCCTCTTTGCTGGTGCCCCCCACCCCACTGGGGTTCCCCAGGAGCCCACCCAGCTGGGTGTGGGGACCCGGCCACCGGCCATGCCTCCGTTTTCCTTGTACAGACTCTCACTGCCCACCCACCGTCCCCTGACACATTTTATTTAATAACTTGTCATTGTTAAATTATTTATTAGCGTTTACCACATCACCACCCCCACCCTGCCCTCCACTCTCACCTTCAGCTCTTCCCACAAAAGCAGAAAATGGAAACAACAAAAAAATGAGACATCAGTATATTTGTAAATAAACCAACCTGTACACGCCTGTGGTGACTCTCCTTGGGGGGAGGGGGGCGGGGACGGGGAGGGCGGTGTCTGGGCCTGAGCCAGCTTTGCAGGAGACATTAGCAGATTCCTCCGTGGCTGCCAGGGGCAGCAGGTCAAGGAGGAGGGTTTGGGGTCCCTGGTCCTGCCCAACCCATTGTTCATCCTTTTCCATAGTCCTCACCCCCCTGCCCTCGTCCTATCCCAACCTTGAACCATCTCCATCCTTAAAACAAACACATCCATCTCATCTCACTCCCCAACACTCATTCATTCTATTCATTCATTCACCCAACAGATATGAAGGGTCCCTTAAGTACCTGCCGCCAGGCTGAGAACCGGGGGTTGGCGGTGTCTGACTCAAGGAAGTAGACAGTGTGGTGTGAGCACAGCTGAGGTACAGTGAGGCCTTGTTACAAGGTACCCAACCTCATCTGGAGGGGTGGAGCATCCTGGAAGGCTTCCTGGAAGAAGCTACATGTCACGCAGAGATGCAAAATTATCCAGCAGTGCAGGGACTGGAAGAGGAGGAGAAGTGTCTGCGAGTGCTCCAGGCTTGCGCAAAACCTCACAGGCAGCCAAAATCTCGTGAATCTCCTGAACAACGTTCTTGTTGTTCTTAGCTAAGAACAACAACGTTCTTAGCTGTTCTTAGCTAAGTTTGGGGGCAGAGAAGCAATGAGGCTGGAGGCAAGACTGGACCATCCAGGGTCTTGCTGCAAGTGGGGGACAGGTCGGGTTAGGTCAGGATGGAGGCAGAGAAGTCAACTGAGTCACCTCTCTCACCTAGGTGAGGGCGACAATGGCTTTGACAAGTGGGGTAACAGTGGGGAGGAAAAAGGGGGACAGGTTCCCAAGACATTGGCAAGGTGGGGTGGGCAAAGCCACCCCTGGGCTCCTTGTCACAGGGGTGGAGGCTCCAGAACACCCTGGCGGGGGCGTGGGAAGCTCTGGGTCTGCGGGAGCATCCAAGTGGACCTGTCCCAGAGCAGGGCTGGGCCTCAAAGGGGCCAGAGGCTGAGTGCCCAGGTGTTCGACAACCAGGTGAGTGAGCTTGCCCCAGGGAACGCGATATGCAGAAGCAGAGGCCAAACCCAGAGGATCGGGAGGACTTGGGACTGGATCCAGGGGAGATGGTGGCAAGGGCAGAGAGTGGGTGGAGATGGCAGAGGCTCAAAGGAGTTTGGCTCTCGAGGTGTGTTCCTTGGAGTCTCCAGGAGCTCCAAGTTCCTCGGAGTACCTTGAGAAGTGCCGGCCTGTGTGTGTAAATAGCTACCTGGGTGAGTCGGCCCAGGTGTCCTGAGCTCAAAGCTGCAGGTAGAGTGCTGCGTGCAGCAGGGGTCCCCCGCAGGCTGTCTACATCGGTATGCGGATGGGCGCCTGCGTGCTGGTGAGGCTGTTTGTAGACCCACACACCGGCCTGTCGCCATACATCTCTGTCTGCCTGTGCACCCAGGAGGCCTCTCCACCTCGAATCCACAGACCCGATGTCCCAGGGTTCTCTCCCTGCCCTCCACCCCTCCTCCATTCAGCCTTCTCAGCAGCTTCTCTCCCTCTGCCTGAGGGCACCAGCGCCCCCTAGAGGCACACTCTGCCCTGCACCCTCTTCTGTCCTGTCAGGGTGATTCTCAAAACCACATGGCTTCTGGGAATCCAGACATGTCGGGGCCCTCCAGTTCATTTCCTCCTTTGCACCCCACAACACCCTGAGAGGCAGGAATTAAGGTCTCGAGTTTCAGAATGGAAACCAGAAGCTCAGAAAGAGACAACAACCGGGTCAATATGACAAAGCTAACAAGGGGCAGTAGAACCAGAGTTCAAAATCAGGTTTGGCTGCAAACCCATGGCCTCGCCACCAACCTCCGCCCCACACCCCACCCCCAGCTGCCTCCCTAAGCCCACACTCTCTGGCCGTGAGATCTTGCCCTCCAAAGCGAGACCCGGAGACCTGGGGAGCAAGGAAACTCCTACCTTCAAAGTAGCCTTACCGAGGCTCCAAGAAATCAAGTCACTGGGCACAGCACAGCGGTACAACTAAACTGGGTCCTCCTGTCCAGCCCCAGGCCTAGGCTTCTGTGAGAGTGGCCTCCCAGCTCCCCCAGCCCCTCAGCAGCAGGCCGCCAGCTCTCTTGCCTACAGCAACCGTTTAAAATCCTGTCACTAAAAAATGTGCTGGGGGGGGCCTTGCAGGGGAGGGGCCATGCTAATCCTTTGCTTCCCCAGTCTCCTGCCTGCCTTGTCCCCCAGCTCAGAAAGTGAGGTGGAGGGAGGAGGAGGAGGTGAGGGCTGGGTCTCGGCAGACAAGAGAGGAGGTGCGCTGTCTCAGACAGGACACACACTAGCCCAGCTCCCGCCAGTGCTGGTCACAGGCTGGCCCTGGACATGGGCAGTGCAGCTGGCCTGCTGGACAGCTCGAGAGGCCACGAGGCTGCCGGGTTCTGCTCGTGGCCTCTGGGAGCGGGAGCGGCAGCCCTTTGGGGAGACTGCCGGGCCACCACACGCTGTGCTGAGCCTTACACATCTTGTTTCACTTTCTCCTCACAGCCCTGCGGGGCGGAGCCATTGTAATGTCCACTTGACAACAGCAGACACTGCTCTCCCCAGTTCTTCCCAGGAGCTCCCATCCTGCAGATGGCGCTCCTCTGCCTCAGATGCCCCCATAGACCCGTGACTGTCCCGGGCCCCCCACCAGGCAGGCTTGCCCTCTGGGCACTAAGAGATAGGGGGCTCTGTTATGGCTTTGGCTTTAGAGCCAGCCCTGGGGCTTGACTGGAAAATGGAGACAGCCCTCTCCCCACCCCCACTGGATTGCTCATCCCTTTGGTCTTGTCCCTCGCTTGGCAGACCTTTCCAGGCCTCAGGCCTGCCTGGGCAGATCAAAAACGAGAGTGACAAGAAAGGCAAAGGGACTCAGAGTGGGTGGGTGGCGGGGTGCATCAGTTGTGCCTGGAAGTCAAGGAAAGCCCCTTGGAGGTGGAAACAGCCAGAACAAATGCTCAGAGGTTGGAGCTGCCAGGGACCAGTGAGGTTGGGCACAGCCAGGTTGCAGTCAGGGCCCAAAAGCCAGAGATGGCAGGAGGTGACACCCTGTGTGGCTAGTGCCCATGCTGGGCCTGCCAGCAGTCAGTCAGGCCCTTGCAGTGGAAGGACGTCTGGTGCGCTGCCTGTCCTCCGATTCAGCGGGGACAAGTCAGCACACAGAGACCGTGAGAAGTACAGATGAGTGTATGTACTGTACTCACTTGTGGCCTAAAGAAAAATAATAAACACAAAAACTCCTGTACCCACTCCCTAAATAAAGAAAACGTACATTTGTCAATTCCTCAGAGCCCCCGATGTCCCCGGAGCCTCTATTTCTTCATTCAGAAAATTCTGGTCCAGATCAGAAAGGAGTAATGTGCAGAAAGTTCTTAGCACAGAATCTGTGGAATGAGCCGAGTGTCAGGCGGCCCCTCCTGCACCTACAGTCTGCGGCAGAATACCGAGGTGCGTCTTCCTACGGGCAGCAGCCCACTTTCACACCTCCCTTATTGAAGCCTGGGGCACTTGGCGACTAAATTCCCAAGACAGACCAGAAGCCACTTTGCATTTCGCTACTAAGCCTGCAGTCACCCGTCGTGCCACGAGGTGGCGATCGAGAGTCAGGCAGGTGAGACCCCAAGCGTTGGCTCGGCTCAGGCTTGATGCCTGGATCACGGAGCCTTCGGATTTTGGCCGGAAGGGGAAGGGGGAGAAAAACCTTCCTCTTCGGAGACTTCTGTGTGCCAGGTACTGTGTGGGCACTTTACAGGGACGATACCGGGCATTCCTCACCACAATCCTGAGAAGTAGGTGTGACCATTCTCATTTTATAAGACAGAAAAGTAGGTTCAGAGATGGTAAGTAACCTGAGGCCACAGAGCCAGTAAATGGCAGAGCTGGGGGCAGTAACAGACAGACGCGCAGGAGGAGGAAAAGTAGGGAGGGGGGAGGGGGCGAAGAAATAGCCTCTTCTCCAGCACTTGCGTCAGCCAGGCTCACCCCGTTTGGCTCAGTCCGCTGAGTTCTCACACTGACCTGGGGGGCAGGCACTGTTACTACCCCGTTTTACTGGTATGGAAACTGGGTCTAGGGAAGCAGCCTTGGGTGGCTGCTTATCCTCAATGCCCTGGATCCTGGGGAATCAGCCCTCTCTGAGCCCAGGGGGAGGACCACAGGGGTGAGCAGAGAACCACTGACCTCCCCCTACCCCCTCACCCCACCCCTTATTCCTGCCCAGCCCCTTCTCCTCCACCCCTCCCCGAGGGAGGTGAGCAGGCTCAGGCACAGGAGGGGGCTCCCACATGGGAGCAAGATCTAGGTCCCACCTGCAGAGTGTGCTGGCCCCTATGGACGCCTCCCCCACAGGGGAGGCAGGGCACCACCCGCAGCCTCTCATGGGGGTCAGCGTTTCATTCAGATCTCGGCAGTCCCTGGGACCTACTAATGAAGGCAACTCACCGGGTGGGGCCCGGGGCTCTGGAGTCTGAGAGTTCCCCACCCCCCAGTCAGGGACTGCGTAGTGAGTGCTGTCAAGCTCAAATCCCAGTTCTGCCACATAACCATGACCTTGGGCAAGTCTCTGTTGCTTGTTTTTTTAATAAACGGAAAGGCGAGGACAGGGCCATCACGAGGATCACATGAGTAAGTGAGCCAGGCCCAGGGTTCATCCGACTCCAGGCACTCAAACAGTGGGGATACAAGGGGCACCCCTCACTTTTGTCCACCCAGGAGGCTAACCCTCAACCCAGACCACTGAACTAGAGGGGCGAAGGGCCCTGACGGAGGCGTGTGGAGCCGCCCCTGGCTCTGGCAGTGGTCAGGCCCTCCCCAGCCCTTTGGGCTTCCAGAAGCTGTTTCCTGGGACAGAGCCTTCCTTTCCCCATGCTCCGAGGCTGACAGACACCTGGGCTTCCTGTGACCTCAGGGGCCATGCCAGATGAGGCACTGAGGCATGGGCAGTGGGAGCTTT